TCTGAGACCCTGCGATGTGGGAGTCCCAAGGTCCCGCAGAGGGGGGCGCCCGCGCAGGCTCCCTCCCCATCCCAGGAGCCGGGACCACGCTGAGGGGTCCGGGTCTGCCAGGATCTAGTGGGAAGGGGCGGCTCAGGAAGGAGTGGGGACAGGGCGTAAGAAGTCCCATGGGGCTGAACACCGAGCGGCAAGTCTGTGTCTGGCCTTTAGCACTACGACTGGGACCCGCCTGGGAAGGAGTCCAGCTGGGGACCGAGGGTCTGTGGGTGGGGAGCGAGTGCGCGGATAGCATCGGCGTGACCCCGTTTGCCTGGATGCAGCGCCCACCTACTCCGTGTCCACCCCTGACTTGCTCTGGGCAGCTCTAGGGAATCGTCTTGCTTTTCAGCCCCATCACAGATTGGAGAGTGGAGGCTGGAGAAGGTAGAGGCCCCGGGGGGTGTTCGGATCAGCTCTGGAACCCCTTCCTCTGGCCTGCATGAGTGTTTCCATCGGCTGGGGAGAAACTGAGTCCGGAAAGGGGGCTCCCCTCCCCTAAAATTCCACAGCCTAGACTGGGTGGAACCGGGTCAAATGTCTCAGCCTCCTGGTCCCAGAGTGCTCCGCTCCACTGAGAATCTGCAGTTTCCCGAGAATCTGCGGTTTAGGCCAGACGTGAAGCTCATACAGCGGACAATAGGGTGGCACTTGATCTTCTTTTCATAAAGCATTTTTGAAAAGCATCGAATTGCACAGGGAATAATGAATACATTGAATTTACAATGAAAATCTTTCCTGTTAAGATCAGATGGAAGCCCTAAACACCCCTTCCAGGATCCTAGGTCCTTTCCTGGTGGTGGATCAGTTTGGGGTAAAACTTTCCAGATTAAAGGGAAAAAAAAATACAGTTTATATTTTAGATTAGTTGGAGATTTCCAGAAAAGTTGCAGACAGTACTGAGAGTCCCTGAATTCCCCTCATTTGGCTTTCCTGTTAACACCCTACATCACCGTGGTACATTTGTCGCAGCTAAAAATCCCAACGGTGCAACTAAGCTGCAAACTTCATTGGGATTGCCTGGGTTTTCCCATTGTTCTAGGATCCCATCTAGGGTAGGCATCGGCCTGAGCGGTTGTGTCTCCTCTGTCTCCCCAGATGTTGTTCAAGTTATTCTCACACGTACAGACAGGAGCTCCAGCTATACAGAGCAGTGGGAAAGTTGTGTGTGTGTGTTTACATTAGAGTGTCTGAGAATTCTGGAAATGGAGACTTTTTGATTTTTAAACAATACGTTAGTTACATTTCCAAACACTAAGCTCGCTGTATTTTTCTTTAGCCTACAGATGCTTTTTTTCAGGTGAAATTTAAAAGATATAGTCAATCATTTGCCTGAAAGAAAAGAGGAGAAAAAGACAATGAATGTGTTTCCCTGTGAAGAAAATGAATTGTCGTCAAGCGTTTTCAGTACCCTGTGCAGAGATGTTTTCAGGCCGTGTGTTTGTTTTTTCCACCCCAGATGCCACACGGCAGCCCTGACCCACACTCTATAATCTACGTCCTGTTCATAATGTGAATGAGCTGAAGGTTTCTTTTCCCCTTTATTCTTGTCCCCGTTGATGGACTTTCACGATGTTACTCGAGCATTCGCCATTTCAGACGAAGTGCTGCCGTTTTCCTGCAGGCCCCTGGGTCTGCACTTTTCTTGGGCACAGGTGGGGGGACAGCCATGTACTCTGGGAGGCAGGTCTCTCGGTGCCTGGCGTCCCAGCCTGTGGAACTGTGGACAAGCCGAGTAATTGCTCTCTGCCTCAGTGTCCCAATCTTTAAAACTGGGAAGATGATGATAGCAGGGAAGGATGGGATTGCTGCTGGCTTAAAAAGAATGCCCATTTAACATCATTTTGGCTAATTTTTGGTCTGGAAAGCTAATTTATTTATTTATTTTTTTAGGGGTGAGCCTTTGAATTTCATACCTGTGGGCACTTTGGGGGAGTCTATGAGTGGTGCTGGGGAGAAGCATGGAAATGGGGAGAATTGTTCACTGGGGTGCCGTTCTGTGGTCCCTGGGGAGACCCTCTGGGGACTCCAGTTCAAGTTCCTGCTCTCATTTTCTCCTCCCAACCCAGACCTGGGTTTGACAGTCATTCACATTGTTCTTAAAAATTATAGATACTGGGGCCAGCAGGTGGTGTGGTGGTGAAGGGTGCTGGACTCACATATGGCCGACTGTGGTTTGAGTCCTAGACCTGGCGGCTTGCTTTCTCACTTTCCCTCTTTCTAAATTAAATTAAATAAAGTTAAATAAAACAATTCTTAAAAAATTATTTTAGGGACCAGCAGTTAGCGTAATGGCTATGTCGCTGGACTCACATGTTTTTGACTGCGGTTCGCATCCCGGACCCGGTGGCTTAAAATTCACGCCGGGTGCGTGTGCGTGTGTGCCCAAGATCCCAAGAGGAGAATGGAGGAGAAGGGATTGCGGCGTGGCCATCCCCCCTGGGGAGGGGTGATTTCTCGCTTTCTGTCTCTCTGTCTCTCTCTGTCTGGTGAGCGCAAGTGCCCTATAGCAAAAAAAAAAAACCAAACTCTCCCCCAAAAAATTATTTTAAAAATTATAGATATCATAATACTGTACTCCTTAATTTCAGAATGCATAGCAAAACAAATGTCAATTTTATTACCTGAAGAATATATATATTCTTTGGGACCAGCAGATGATGTTGTTGGACTCCCATGTAGTCGACCACGGTTCAAGTCCTGGACCCGCTGGCTTAAAACTCACACTGAGCGCATGTGTGTGTGTGCCCAAAATCCCGAGAGGAGAACAGAGGAGAAAGGATTGCAGCATGGAGAGTGATTTCTCGCTTTCTGTCTCTGTTTCTCTGTCTCTCTGGTGAGTGCATATGCCCTATAGCACAAATCTCTCTCAAAAAAAATTGTATATATATTTTTATTGCCAAGAGGGTTCATGCACTTGCTAGACCATAGAGAGAGAAAAAAAAAGAAAGAAAGAAAGAAAGCCTCCCCCGGTGGGGTGTGATCACACTGCAATCCTTATTGCTCTATTTCTGCATCCCATTAGCATTTGGGGCCCACATGCACATGCGCCTGGCATGTTTTTCAAGCCACCAAGGCTGGGATTCAAACTGCAAATCTCCATGTGGGATCTGGCTCTTTTCATACAGTGCTTAAGCACTATGCCATGCGGCTAGCCCCTGAAAAATACTACTTAATACCATCTAGTTCCCTGTCCAAATCTACATTTCTGCAGTTATAGCAAGACTTTTAAGGCCAGTTCAATAAATGTGAGCATTTTCTCCTGGGAGGTGGTGATGGGCTGTGAGTTAAGTGTGACTTCTGGGCCCACTGAAGCCAGCGATTTGCCAAGTGAGCACCCGGAACATTCTGCTTGCCCTCTGGGCCTTCATGTCCCGTCTCTTTCTGAGCTTGCTCACAGGGGTGGTTCTCAGGCCCCTGCCACTGCTTCAGACTGGTGTCTTTCTCTTCCTCTCTTCTTGGGCTGTGTGGCTGCTGCAGGAGCACTGAGAGTGTCCTCCTAGGTGAGAGGCCCCTTTTCTGGGGTCCCCGAGGCTAGTGGCAGCGGATGAGGGCTCCTGCGGCTCGGGGCTTGTGGGGCTTCTGCAGGATGTGAAATTTCTAGGCGTTAACTGGAGGACGCTGAGTGCTGGTCCGGGGCAGTTTCAGCCCTGGGTAGTTTCAGTCCTGAGTGGGTCTGGTGTGTACAGCATGGTACAGGAGAGAAGACTGGGGGGTCCACATCCCCAAATCCAGACACCCAGCTTCCTGTGTAAAATGGGGAGACCCGGCAGTCATTTCCTGGGACTCAGTGGTAGAGCCCTCTCTGAACCTCGCCTGTGTTGGCTCCTTAACACTCTCTCCAACTCCAGGACCCAACGGCTGTTTGTTGAGCGCCGACTGTGTGCACATTCATTCATGTGTTTATTCAGCACCTACTATGTGCTGGTGTGGGCAACCAGCCCCTGCTCTCATGGGCCTTCCGTCCTGAGACGATGCAGTATGTCCGGGGCTTGACTCACGCTTGACTCCTTCCTCTGGTTTGCAAAGGGGCAAGTGGAAGAGAGACACAGGGCAGGTGTGCGTGTGTGCGTGTGCACATGTGCATGTATGCGTGCACACATACTGTGGGTGAGGAATGGCCATCCTTCGAGGACCCACTTGGTGGGAATAGCGCTCTAGAGGACAGTCCAAAAGGGTGTCCTGGTTTCTGACCCTGGAAGGGCGGGCGACAGCGGCTGTGTGGGCAGAAGTGGGACAGAAGGGCCCAGTCCTCCATCCTGTCCCTAGGGCCTGGCAGTGCCTCCAACCAGTGAGAGTGTGAGGCCCGAGACCGACACCACAGGCCCCAAAATAGTGCCTCCTTCACCCACTGGCTGCGCTGAGTCACCCTGGAATGCGGCCTGGGCTCCAGCCGGATTGGGGGGCCCCAGCCATACCCCGCGCTTGGGTTAGCGCTGGCTCCCAGCTTCCGGCCTTTGTCCGCACCGCCTTGGGACTCTTCTGGGGACTGAGGAAAGCTGCCAGAAATAATAGCTGGTGCTGGGGCACTCCAGCGGCCGCCAGGGTAAGGGGCAGGGAAGGAAGCTCCCTCCTACCTGCCTGCAGAGATGCAGGAAGGGCTCAGGCCTGTGGGTGGGCAGTCGCTGAAACCTCTGTGGCGCAGTTTCCTTGTCTGCAAAGTGGGGATGTAAATGTCTCTTGGGGTGACTTGGGGCCAGCATAGTGGCAAGGGCGTGGGCTCTGTAGCCGACCCGCAGGATTAGAAACCCACTCCTCTAGGCAGGCCCTCCGCAGGTGCCCCAGCCCCTCTGCACATTAGTTTCCTCTTCTGTAAAGTGGGCCGGGCCCAACAGTGCCCTCCTCATGGGCAGGGCGGGGATGGGGGGGGGGATGCCTTTATTCTCCTCCTCCCGTTCTCACTCTGATGCGATTTTACTCTTTTGGTTTTTGTCTGTCCTCCATATTAGTCTGTAGCCCCAGGAAGGCAGGGACCTTGTCTGCCCAGAACGATGCCTGCTTCATAGTTAATAGTTGGTGAGGGCCGAAAGGTGGCACAGAGGTTAAGGCAGATGGATCCCACATGACCAGGTGTCCGGGTCAAGTCTTGGACCCGACAGCTTGAAAATCATGCCGGGGGCATGTGCCTGTGTGCCCAAAATCCCTAGAGAAGAGTGGAGGAGAAGAGGTTGCTGCGTGGCCATCCCCTGGGGGTGCTTTCTCTCCCTTTCTCTGTTTCCCGTGAATGAGTGGATGAATCCAAAACAACAAAAGAGATGCGATGCTCCGCTCACTCATTCATTCCGTAGACGGGCATCTGGACGCTGTGTGCGAGATCGCTGAGGTGCTGCTAGTTCCGAGCCTGAGAGGGGTCCTAACCTGGGTTTCGGGACCTGCAGGGGTGCACCATGAGCACCAGCCCTGCATGGGGACCCTGACTGCAGCTAACAGCCCTTCCAGCAGAGGGTGGCAGTTGAAGCCAGGATGGGACCTGGCGGGAGGGGGCAGGGGCCAGAGCAGGGGCCAGGGCAGATGCTGCTGTAGGTGTGTTTAGCAACTAAGTGTAACTAACTGCACCTTGGAACCACACCCCTCAGCAGCGCAGGGCTCAGCTCCAGGCCCAGGAACCACACGCACGCACGCGGGTTCTCTGTTCTTCTGGGTCTCCAAGGCTGCCTTCCTGCCGGGTGCTCAGAACTGGCTGAATTCAGTGACTCCCAGGCGTAGACCGAGGTCTTTTTCTTTCCCTGCTGTTGCAAAGGTCCCCTCGCCATTCCTAGAGGCCCCTCCAATTCCTTCCATGGCCCCTTCTGTCTTCAAAGCCAGGAACACAGACCCCCCCACACCCCCCGGGATCGATCACTCTCATGCTCTCAGTCTCTTCCCAGAAAGAGCCCTGTGCCCACCTGGAAGGTCAAGACCTGGGGGGAATTTTATTTTATTTTTTTTCTTAAAGGCACCTGTGCCATCTCTCCTGACTCAACGGAGGGGATTGTACGGGGGCGGGTCAGTGAGGGTCGCCCTCGACTTCTGCCACCACAGTGAGCCATCGGCATTGCTAGATTCTCAGAGGGTCCCCACCCCGAATGTCACACACAACCTTCTCTTGGGACGTCGTGGGCTGGGCCAGCCTGTGCACCTGGGACTTCCCTACAGGCCGTGGCCAGGCCTCTCGCCACCCAGGCACCCTGAGGTCCTGACCTGCTGGGACCAGTCAGGGCAGTGATGAGGCTGCTGCTTCCATAGTCTTCTGCCACCCGTGTGTTCCCCGCTGTCATCCCGGGCAGGACAGGGAGAAGGAGATGGCCAAAGCTTGGTCCGGGCTCAGAGAGAACTGCGTCCTGTACTGCCGGGTACTAGAAAGTTCTTCCACCCACAGAGACAGCACCATCTCTTTGGGACCCCATCCCATGATCAGACACTAACCGGTCCTCCAACTTCTGTTGTCACCCCCTCTATGCAACTATCAAAAGGATCCTGTAAAAACCTAAGCAAACTGTGTCCCTGCACTGCTCAAAACTGCCATGGCTCCCACGCGACACAAAGAGAAAGCCCAAGTCCTTACAGCTGCCCACAGGACTCTGCGTGGCCTGGCCCCTGTGACCTCCCTGGCCTCAACCTCCAGTACTTCTTACTCCCTTCACCCAGACACGCTGACCTCCTTATTGGTTTTTCGCAAACTCAGGTGCGACCCAACCTCAGGCCTTTGCACTCACTGTCCCTTCTGCCTGGAACGCTTTCCTCCCCGGTGCCCAGTGCTCCTTCCCTGCCCGCTGTCTTTGGTCAGATGGCCTCAGTGAAGCTGCCCTAACCGCTCCCTGTAACGTCACCACTGTGTCCTGCACCTCTTAGTCCCCTCCCTGCCTTGCTGGATGGTGGTAAGAGCTGTGGATTTTGCAGGCGGCCTGGCGAGCCTCCCCTGGACCTGGGCAGCATCCCCTGGTTGGGCCACGCCTTGGAGTTTGGGAAAGATGCGGCCAGTTTCCTCACGAGGATGAAGGAGAAGCATGGAGACATCTTCACTGTAAGTGCCTCTTGGAGGGAAGGGCAGGGGCGGCTGGTGAGAGACCGATTCCTTCCACATCTGCCTTGTGCCAGCCCTCCCACCCAACATCCGGCCAGGGGCCCAGCCACGTTCCTGTCCACCTGTCTGTCTGGTGACACGTCCAGCACTTCTCCAACATCCACCCCTTCAGCGTCCCCTAGCCTCTTCCCGCCATCGAGCTGTGCAGTCACTCCGTAGCTGTCCAGTACTCGGACAGCCAGCCAGCCTCCACCCGTCATTCCGCTTCTGCTGTCCAGCCTCTGTTCATCCACCCTTCTGCCTGTCCACCGGTAGCTACCAGCAGCCTTCCAGCCTGGTATCCACCCAGTGGTCATTCACACTGTCCATTTCCGTCAATGCTCCTGCTGTCCCCTCATCACTCGTCTTTCTGTATACTCATTCAGCATCTGGCTGTTCTTCCATCTACCCACCGTCTGTCCCGCCACCTGTCTACCAGATTTACCTAACAGCCCTCCACTCATGTACCGACCCGCGTCCACTTCCATCCGTAAACTCAGGTTGACCAACCTCCATCCTTCTGTTCGTCTGCCTTTCCATCCTCCCAGCGCTCAGCTGTCTACCCACTGAGTAGCTGAGGTTACCATTTGATACACATGTGTTCATATATCCGTCCATCCGTCCTCCAACGTGCACTCGATCAGTCCCCATCCACGCACCTTCCCTGTGTCCCTCCAGCCTCCACCACCCACACTCACGTCCAGTCTGTCTCCGGGCGGCTGGTGAGAGACCGATTCCTTCCACATCTGCCTTGTGCCAGCCCTCCCACCCAACATCCGGCCAGGGGCCCAGCCACGTTCCTGTCCACCTGTCTGTCTGGTGACACGTCCAGCACTTCTCCAACATCCACCCCTTCAGCGTCCCCTAGCCTCTTCCCGCCATCGAGCTGTGCAGTCACTCCGTAGCTGTCCAGTACTCGGACAGCCAGCCAGCCTCCACCCGTCATTCCGCTTCTGCTGTCCAGCCTCTGTTCATCCACCCTTCTGCCTGTCCACCGGTAGCTACCAGCAGCCTTCCAGCCTGGTATCCACCCAGTGGTCATTCACACTGTCCATTTCCGTCAATGCTCCTGCTGTCCCCTCATCACTCGTCTTTCTGTATACTCATTCAGCATCTGGCTGTTCTTCCATCTACCCACCGTCTGTCCCGCCACCTGTCTACCAGATTTACCTAACAGCCCTCCACTCATGTACCGACCCGCGTCCACTTCCATCCGTAAACTCAGGTTGACCAACCTCCATCCTTCTGTTCGTCTGCCTTTCCATCCTCCCAGCGCTCAGCTGTCTACCCACTGAGTAGCTGAGGTTACCATTTGATACACATGTGTTCATATATCCGTCCATCCGTCCTCCAACGTGCACTCGATCAGTCCCCATCCACGCACCTTCCCTGTGTCCCTCCAGCCTCCACCACCCACACTCACGTCCAGTCTGTCTCCTCGGTGTCTGCTGTGTGCCCAGCATCCGGCTGCACGTCTAGTGTAGTTTTCAGCCAACCTCCAACCGCCCTTTCGTCCATCTTTGCATCCGACCCAGATTCATTGATCGTTCTGCCATTTCTCTACCCAGCTGACATTTGATCTCCCTCCCTTCCTCCTTCCCTTCCTTCTTTCCTTCTCCCCCTTCATCCACCTAATTGTCCTTTTATTCACTTTTCCTTCCATTCATTTATCCATCCATCCCTCCGTCCATCCACACATCCGTCCACAGTCCACCCAGGGGCGTTTACCCGGCAACATCCTTTCATTCCCCGGCCCATCCATCCCTCCACGACACAGACAGCGTCTGCTGCTGCCTTCGGTAGGCAGACTCTGCCTTGGCTGCTGGAGAGCTGGCAGTAACCGAGATAACCATGGCGGTGATTAAGCGTGGGGCAGTAAAGAACATAGTCCTAGATTTTGAAAAGCACTGGATTCCAGGCTGGCGCTGCCACTTGTCGGCTGTGTCACCTTGGGCACGTGGCATCCCTTCTCGAAGCTGCACGTTTTGACTGGACATAAGCAGGTGATAGTCCCTGCTCCCGGGTGCAGGGGGGTCAGAGAGCATTGCCCACTGGTGAGGCAGAGCCTCCACATGGCCAGCACATGGAGAGCTAAGAGCTGCCGTTGTTCATAGTGACACCCCCCATTCTGTCCCTGCTGTTCCCCAGGTGCTGGTGGGGGGCAGGTATGTCACTGTTCTCCTGGACCCCCACTCCTACGATGCGGTGGTGTGGGAGCCTCGCACCAAGCTGGATTTCCACGCCTATGCTGTCTTCCTCATGGAGAGGATCTTCGATGTGCAGCTTCCCCATTACAATCCCAGTGATGAGAAGGCCAGGATGAGACCGTGAGTGGATGTGGATGGGACCAGTGCATGGGCCAGGTGGGGGACCTGCTTCTGCCTGTGCAGTCCCAGTCCTCCAGAGCAGGAGTCCAAGCAAAGACAAAGCATGGAACAGCTCTAAAGCATGGGCTGAAGAACTCTACTTGTCATCTCTGTTTCTCGTTGTCTCTGTTTCTCCGGGAGGCAGACCCAATCAAAGGGGAAACCCGGGTTGGGGTTGGTCAGACCAAGGTTCAAATCCTATCTCCCTCACTTCCTAGCTTTGTGACTTTGGGCATCCCAGTGTTATCCAGGAGTTTGTGGACCCCCTCTGCAGGTCTTCCCTAGCCAAGCACCCAGGGCTTCACCCAGCTGAAAGGGATCTGTCCTCTTTCCAAACAGCAAGCGGGCAGCAGAGGACTGGCGTGCCTGGCCGGTACCCTCCCTCTGTTCTTTTTTTTAACCACCAGGTGTCGCTGTTGCACACTGGTTGTGCACCGCCCGCAGACATGCCTGTCTACTTGGCTACAGTGGTGCCCCTTCTGGTCTAGGTCCCTGCACAAGGGGAGGAGGAGCCTTAAAGACGAGGTCCACTTTTCCTGGCTTCTAATTATTTCCTCACTAAAGGTTTAGAGTGGACTTGGTGTCTGAGTACAGAGTGGCTTCTAGCCTGGACCATACACACTCAGACTGGCTGTCTCCTCTGACTCTTAAGTCCATGTCAGAGACCAGGTCACCCGCACAGATTCCTGTGTCCTCATATTGAGTTCATCTGGGGACGAGTCCCTGCAGTTCTTACTCAGGGGACTCCATAAGGTCTCTCTACCTTGGATTTCAGTGGAAAAGATTAGCTTCTTAGTTCCTTCCCTTCCAGAAGGCTGTGGTCCCCTTATTCAAGCTCGGGGAAGGAGAGTCTGTCCTGGCTAATGGTTCAGGCTCTGGAGTTGGGCAGATGAGGGTTTCACTCCCAGCTGCACGGTCTATTGGCTGTGTGATCTTGGGCTAGTTACTTTCCTCTCTGCTCCTGAATTGCTCTGTCTGAAGAACGGGTGACCCTCATGGTAACCATCATTCCTAGGATCATGAGAAGATGAAGTGAGGCCATTGTACTTACCACAAAAATGGTAACTATTGGGTTGTTGGAAAAGTCATGATGCATTTTTGCATAGAAAAGCATAGAAAAAACACATTATTGGGGCTGGCTGGTGGCATGGTGGTTAAGGTGCTAGACTCCCACATGACAGACCATGGTTCGAGTTCTAGACCTAGTGGCTTGCTTTCTCTCTCTCCTGGGTCAAACTAATAATAGTAATAATTAATAAATTAAATAATTCTTTAAAAAAACACATCTTGCCTTTTTCCAACAACCCAACATCATTGCTGTTGCTGAGGATAGTATTACTAATAGCATCTCACTCAAGTTGGTCTGCCACAGGCCCCCACTGCCAATGGGACACTCGAGCCCCGGGACCCTGAGGTTTATGGAGGGAGGACCTTGTGGTGTGTGTTTCCCTTGGGAAGCTGAACTCTCGCCTTCATCCCCTGCTCAGGACGCTGCTCCACAAAGACCTCCAGGCGCTCACAGAAGCGATGGACACCAACCTCCGCGCTGTCCTGCTGGGTGATGCTGCAGAGGCGGGAGGTGGCTGGAAGGAGAGCGGCCTCCTCGATTTCTGCTACGGCTCCCTGCTCAGGTGAACCCGGGCACTCTCCTGGGTGGAGCCTAGCACTAGGCCCTTTGTCAGCTCTGAGCCATGACCCAGGGGCCGTGAGCACTTTGTGGGTTGGGGGAGCAACTGGGACTCTCAGAGTGAAGACTGCAGGAAAGATGTTCATCTTGGACCACAGGACCCCCTGACCCAGCCCCTGAGCTGTGAAGGAGGCATTGGGGGCCAAGGGGGAATCCCAAGAGGGAATAGCAGAGAGGGCTTTGGAGACCATCTTGTTCTGTGGATTCCAGACTTTGGACTTCACGGACCAGAGAAACTGAATGGTAGGGAGGCCAGCCCAGTACCCTGGCCCTTATCAGACCTGTCAATGTGCCTTAAAAACCACAGCACAAAGTCCCTTCCTTCAGCAGGGCTGGCACTATTCCAGGCCCTGGGGATATGCAGCGAACCGACCAGGTGGAGTCTTGAAACCCCCAGAGCTGCCTCTGCAGTGGGGGAACAGATTATGGTCATCAGAGGGTGACAGACATGACGTCAGAGATCCACAGGGGGTGGTGGCATCTGGAGGGCCGTTCAGCCAGACTGGTCAGGGAGGACTTGTCTGAGGATCTGGTCTCAGGTGGAGACCTGACCATATGCCCACCACGTCTGTTCCAGGCCAAGGAAGCAGTAAGTGCAAAGGCCCAGAGGGGGGAAGCTTGGCAAAAGGCCTAACATGGCTGGAGCACGAGCGGGGGAAGGGGAGCCGAAGCCAGAGGAGCTGGGGGAACTGGGTAGAGCCACTGGGTAGATCGTGGAAGCTCTAGGATTGATTCTGAGTAACAGAGGTGACACTGGCGGCTCAGGCAGGGGTGTGACATGATCTGACCTAGGAGTTTTAAAGCTCCCTCTGGCTGCTGGATGGAGACTAGCCTGTGGCAGGGGGTGGGGTGACAGGGAGGCAGAGGCCTGTCAGCTCAGAGCTCCAGTGACTAGATCAGTGCAATGGAGGGATGGAGAGGCGGGGGCTGAGTGCAGACAGGGACAGCCCAAACCACCCAGCGTCCTGACTGGGCAACTCCAGGTGTCCTGGCTCTGGCCACCCTGTGTGTGCCATGGACTGACCAGCATTTCCTGAGGACATTTTAAACCCTTCGGAAAGCTAAAAGGCATAGTTTCAGGGTTGAGGGTGAGCGTTCTCTGATGTCGAGGCCGGCAGTGCGTGTATGATGTGTGTGCACATGCGTGGACTCTGTGTGTGATTTTGATCCTCATGGCAGCTCTCTGAGCCTGGCACTTACACAGCCTGTTTGACAGGTGAGAAAACTGTGGCCTGGAACCCAGCTCACTAGCCCAGAGCCCACGTTGGGGTGGTGGGGGCTGGCCCCCGAGCCTGCATTCTCGGTCATGACCCTCGCATGTCCATGGGCCCCACTGGTTTTGTTTTGCCCTGGACTTGGGTGGACGTCACGTCAATGGCATACCTGGTCTGGGTCACGCTGGTTGGGCTCACTCTGTTGTTGTCTGCTGGGCACCGAGGTCTTGCTTGGATAAATAAAACCGCCCAGCAAGATCCCATCCGGGCACCTGCCAGGCCTCCAGGCCCCACCCACCTGGTCCCTGAGGGCAGAGAAGTCAGCAGCACAGAGGCTCATGGGTAGGGTTGGCTGGGTCTGTTTAGGCCCCGAGGTGCAGCAGGCTGGCTCAGTGCAGGAGAGTCAGGTGTCAGACGAGGCCTGTGGTCTGCACCTATAAACCCATAGCTCTGTCTCCAGGGCCTGAGGCTGGAGCTCCTACCTCCAGGCTGGTCGGTGTTCAAGTCTTGGACCTACCGGCTTTCTCACTTTCTCTCTCTGGTTAAATTAAAAATGATAATAAAGGGCCAGCAGATGGCATAGCAGTTACGCCGCTGGACTCCCACATGCCCAACTGTGTTCAAATCCCAGGCCCGGCAGCTTAAAAATCATGCCAGGTGATCTCCCAGATCCCGGGAGGAGAGTGGAGGAGAAGGGATTGTGGTGGCCATCTCCTGGGTGATGCCAACCTTCTGGCATGTGTGTGTCTGTCTCTATGTGTGTGTGTGTGTGTGTGTGTGTGTGTGTGTGTGTGTGTCTGGCAAGTGCATGTGTCCTAAGGCAAAAACTTCTAAAAAAAAAGATAATAATAAAAATTAAAGTTAAATAAAATAATCTTTAAAACAAACAAACAGAAAACAGAAAGGGACTGGGCGAATGGGATGCAGGATGCTCACACGGCCTGAACCATGAGTGCACCGCTTACCCCCAGCCTGTCCTCTGTCAGCTCCGTCTCGCTCAGAACACCAGGAGTTCTGCTCTCTGCTCCTGGAACTGGTCTCCATGCTGCCTGTTGAAGGGCCTCTGCAGTTTCTGCTCCCCGCCTGAGAATGCTGTTTCTAGGGTGGGCTCCCACCTCACTTCATTCAAGCCTCACCTCTAGTGCTACCTTCCCCAGAGGCCTTCCTGGTACCCAGCTCCCTCCCGCTCCCTCCCGCTCACTCCTGCTCACTCCTGTCTTTGTAGCACCTAGCGCCACCTATGGGCCGTGTGTGTCTGCACTACATTCTAGGGTTTTCCGTGGAATGATGGATAAGGAGCTGGCAGGGAAGGGGACTTCACTTCCACTGTGTGAATCCTCATGGTCCTCTGGGAGTTTTGTTTGCTTTCTCTTTCCATCCCCCATTTTTGTAGCAATATACGTACTGGGAAATTATTCTCTGCTTTAGCACAAGTGACAGTGCGAGTGGGATGGTAACTGACCACTGATGCATGACCGCAGTGTCACGGAGACACGGGGTCGGATGAGGACTTGGCCCAGCAAGCATGCACCTAAAAGGGGTGGCCACTCTGGCCTGCCCAGGTTGCCAGGTGGGACTGTGGGCCCAGACGGCCTGATTCCTTTTTCAAGAGACGAGCAGGAGATCAGATTTGGTGTGAGTTTCCTGATTTGCCTGTAAGTTCAGTGTATTTTCAGGCAACAGTTGACTGAACAGAGCACGTTTGTGGGCGTAACCCCTCGGCCTTCCCTTTCCCCTGCTCATCCTCCGCATCTCACCTCAGATGATGCCTCCTCCAGAAAGCTGTGAATACCTCTCCAGGGAGATGTCTCCCCTCCTGTCTGGCTCCCCATTTTGCCCCCCTCCCCTCCACTCCAGACCCAACCTCTTCCTTGTTCTTCAACACTTCCAACCAGCCTGCCTCAGGAGTTTTATTTTGTCAGATATTTTTGCTATAGGTACATGCACTTGCTGGAGAGACAGAGATAGAGAGACAGAAAGAGAAGTCACCTCCCAGGGAGGATGGCCATGCCGCAATCCCTTCTCCTCCATTTTCCTCTCAGGATCTTGAGCACGCACACACGCCGCCCTGCGTGAGTTTTTCTAAGCCGTGGGTCTGAGACTCAAATGGGTTGACTCCGTGGCAGTCCAGTGCCATAACCATTGTGCCATCTGCTGTACCCCTGGATTTTGCACTTGCTCCTCGAGCCCCTCCCTGTGCTCCTCCCAGGCGGGCTTCTCATTCTTGGACTTTTGGCTCCAGTGTGAGCCCCTCCCTCTCTCCCTCACCAGGCACTTCCCGGGGGGGGGCCCGGCCCCCCCATCCAGCTTCCTGGCAGCGTGTTCATCCGCAGCTGAGCTTCCTCTAACTTCTCTGCTATCTGCTCAAGTGTCGCCCCGCAGGGGTCTTTGTCCCATTCTGCCATCTCCCCATGGAGAGCAGGGGTAGTAGCTGCTCCTCAGGTGTGAGTGGAGCCACTGGGCTTGCCAGGGCGGGTATGGCTGAGAGCCCCAGGGAGGGCCCCTGACTGCTCTTGTCGCCCCCACCCTCAGAGCCGGCTACCTGACACTGTTCGGAGTGGACGCCTTGCCACGCACTCCTCAGAGCCAGGCGGAGGACCGTGCCCACTCAGCTGATGTCTTCCACACCTTCCGCCAGCTTGACCTGCTGCTCCCCAAACTGGCTCGGGGCTCCCTGTCAGTGGGTAAGTACGGGGATGGGGAGTCCCCATGGGCACTGAGTGGACAGAAGGACGCACTGGCCCTCACCTGAAGGTGAAGGATCAGCGGCAACATAAAAGGGCCCCCTAATGCCCTGGGAGGCAGAAAGTGCCCGTCAGTGGGGTGTGCAGGAGCACCTCACCAGCAAGCGGGGGAATTCTGGCCAGCATGCCTGGAGTGAGCCTGGGAGTCTCCGTGTGCATTCCCTGTTTTAAGTTGCTTTTTAAATTTTTCCAAATGGCTCATGCTTATTATAAAAAATCTAAGCCATGCAGAACAACTTAGAGGGAATAATAAAAGTTCTCCAGTTCTCCCTGTCTCCAAACCATGACTCCCTTCCATAGAGGTAACCGCTATTACCAGCCTGCAGTGTATCCCCACAGAGGGTGCTCTAGACAGACACACACGTGCGTGCGCACACACACTCACGTGCAAACACACAGAGTTGTGTTATTTTTACTGCTTTCTACTTTTATTGCCTCTAAAAAGATGACAGAGGATGCGAATAGGCAGCTCTCGAAGAGGAAACACAAATGGCCGATGACACACACAATGGTGTGTCAACACAGCAGTCAGGGAAATGCTTCCTACAGCAGACGCCCATTTCTCTTCCTCAGGCTTTCTGTTTCTTTTCCTTTTTTTTTTTTAAACAGAAGTATAGTTTGCATACAGTAAAGCACGCATGCCCTAGCTGCATCCAGACATTTTCTGCCCTTCCCTGGCAGGTGTTCACCCCAAGTAGCCGCTTTTCTGGTTTGTTTGTTTGCCTCGGATTATTTTAATCTTTTCTTGACTTTCCCATAAATGGAGTTACAGAGGATGTGCGTTTTTGAGCCTGGCTTCTTTCACTCAATGTCTGTGAGCTTATCCGGGTTGCTCTATGTGTCAACGGTTTGCTCTTTTTCCTTGCTCAGTAGTATTTCGTGAGACGTGAGAGTGTAATGCTGCAATTTCTTATCCATCCCCCGGCTGATAAGCACGCGCGTGCTTTCCTGTTCAGCTGTTATGGATCGGGCTGTGTGAGTACGCTTCTAGAGTCTTTCAGAGCACACACACTCTCCTTTCTCTCAGTTCTCTGCCCTGTCCTTTTGTAACACAGATGAAGCATGCTGGGGCATCTCTCTGCCACTGCGAGCGTTCTCTGAGCTCTGGGTTCAGAGCATTTCCACATCTGTTTGTAAAAACCCATCTCATGCGTTTTTGTGGCTGTGGAGGGACTCGGTGTTGGTGTGTGGGGGCCGTAGAACCACTGGGCGGCACTGCGCCCTGACTTCCTCAATAAGAAGAACCCTCTGGGGTCCTTGTTAACAGTGCAGGTCCCTGAGCCCCATCCACGTCCAGAGAGGGCCCGGAAACTGCCTGTGTGTCCTGTTCTCTGCTGCTTCCTTGCCGGCAACCTTGAGCAAAGTAACTTCTTCAGGCCCCTTTTCCTTTCTTTGGCAGGACAATTGGAAATGGTGGTTAGGACAGAGTCTGGGCTGGTTGGCTTGAGGTGGGTCACTGGTTCGCCTCCCTGTCTGTGTGCTCTCGCTGCGCCTCAATGGCCTTATCTGTATAACAGAGCAGTCGGACCTCCTCGAGAGTTGCTATATAAGATAAGAAAAGCCCTGTTGGCTGATGACTCCCTCTGTGCCAGCATGTCACACCCACTGCCCAGAACACCTCTCCACCCATTTCCTTTGTTTCTGTCATTTTAAAAGACCAAACTTTAACACATTATTTTGTTTACATTTTGAAATAAATAGAATCTTATGGTTAATAAGAAATAATAATAAATAGAATCTTATGTGTGTTTATAGAAAAGGGTTGTAGGGGCTGGCAGGTGGTATGGTGATTAAGGTGCTAGACTCCCACAAGGCAGACAGCAGTTCGAGTCCTGGACCTGGCGGCTTGCTTTCTCACTTTCCCTTTGTCTCTGTCTCTCTCTGGTCAAATTAAAACATGAATAATAATAACAGGGAAAAAGAAGTAAATAAAGAATTTTTTTTAAAAGGGATTATATCTATTACTTGTAACTTGTTTTGATTTTTTTCTTTTTAACCTAACACTGCAGCTATGTATTCTCCTCTGTTAATATAAACATCTTTAGCGGTATTGGCCAATGCAATTAGAAAAGAAAAATAAATGAGAGAAGTAAAGAAGTAAAACTACCCCTACCTGCAGATGATCTGATCTTGTACCTGCAAACCCTCAGGAAGTCAATAATACAAGACTCAAGGGATAAACAAATCCAGCAAAGTAGAAGGGTGTGAAATCAACATTAAAAAAATAGACTTCTGGGACCAGCAGTTAGCCTAGTGGCTATGTCACTGAACTCCCATGTAGTTGACTGCGGTTTGAGTCCTGGACCGGTGGCTTAAACTCACGCCGGGCACGTGTGCATGCATGCCCTAGATCCCGAGGAGAATGGAAGAGAAGGGAATTGCGGTGTGGTCATCCCCCCTAGGGGGTGATTTCTCGCTTTCTATCTCTCTGTCTCTCTCTGTCTTTCTGGCAAACGCACGTACCCTATAGCAAAAACTTCTCCAAAACAAAACAAAAAATTAGACTTCTTTCTAGCTCTTGCATGGCTGTGCCACTGTTTAGCTAGGCTTTTCTCTTGATGTTATGTGGTGTTTCACTGTACTTGTATCCGTTCTCCCGTGTGCTGATTTTCTTTTTTATTTTGGTTTCCTGGAAGTGGGTTTGTTGGGTGAAAGGCCATTCGCATTAACATTTTTATTAGTTACCATCACATCATTTCCAAAACCACAAAGAAATTCCTAAGCCTACCCAAAGGGAAGGAGCCTGTGATTCCCTTCCAGATGTTACCAGTTTTGTTTATTTGTTTCACAATCTGATGGGCAGAGGTGGGTCACTTACTGTTTTAATTTGCCTTTTCCCACAACTTCATCAACATTCAGTTATCAGCCTTTAAATCCTTGTCAATCTGATGGGCAGGAGTGGATGACTGGCTGCAGGAAGGAAGCATTTCCCTGACTGCTGTGTTGACGCGCCATTCTACACGTCAGTGGCCATTTGTGTTTCTTCTTCCCGAGCTGCCTGTTCATATTCTCTATCACCTTTTTAGAGGCAAATCATTACCTTCTCGAATCCTACCATCAGTGCCAGAGGGTTGGTTTTGATAAACCCACTTTGCAGGTAAGAAACTGGAGTTCAGAGAGGTGAATTCGCTTGTCACAGACACACGGCTGGTAGGTAGCAGAGCCAGTAATACAGAACCCTAGTCTGTCTGATCACAGAATTCTGTGTGTAAAGCACCCACCACATCCTAGTACCGATGGGTCTCCAGGAAAAATTGAGTTTCTCAGGGCCGCCTGGTAGCATGGTGGTTAAGGCAGCTGGATCCCAGATGGCTGCGTGGGTAGAAAAACATGCCAGGCGTGTGTTTGTGTGTGTGTGTGTGTGTGTGCACGTGCGTGTCCAAGATCTTGAGAGAAAAATGGAGGAAGAGGGATTGCACTGTGGCCATCCTCCCCGGGGGATGCTTTCTCTCTTTCTCTCTCAGTCTTTCTCCAGTAAAAGCACATGCCCTATAGCAAAACTAAAACAAAACAAAACAAAACTGGGTTTATTTATTGCTCTCTCCTCCATACAGATCCTCCAGAGGAGTCTGGATAGATGTAGAGGACCCTCCATCATTCTGGGAGCAACCATGGGATGGGTATGGGAGGGCTGCATTTCCCACTCTGGGCAGCAGGTGGCGGTGTTGGAAGACAGTTTTTCATTTTACTTAGGGCCAGAAGCATGTGGGCTCTCAAACCTTATTGTGTGGCACCAGGAGCCTTGCAACCTCTCTGGAAGAGCAGTTCGGCAGAACTTATCAACATACCGAGTGTGCAAAAAAAAACCCACATTACCGAGGGTGAATTCCTGCACTTCCACTTCTAGGACTATCCTACAGAAATGCTTGCCCATGTCCCCATATATGCAGATATGCAATGCCCCATTGCTTGTAATAACAGACACTGCAACAACCTGAATGTCCACCAGCAGGGCCTGACTACTTAAATAATGTGTATAAATGATACTGGACTCGTGTAAAGGCGAACTATGCAACTGAAAACCAGAAGGGGAGGTACTGGCATATCCGCTGTTACAGAAAAGAGCCAGGCGAGAATGGTGCATAAATACAGCATGCAGTAGGCAGAAATGTTTTTTAGGGTTTTTGCCATAGGGCACTGGTTCCCATTGGAGAGAGCCAGAGAGAGGGAAAGCGAGAAATTGCCCCCCTACAATCCCCTAAGGGGGATGGCCATGTTGCAATCCCTTCTCATTCTTTCTCCTCTTGGGATTTTGGGCATGCATGTACATGTGCCTGGCATGATTTTCAAGCTACCGGGCCAGGGTGCCAATGACTGTCAGCCATATGGGAGTCTAGTGCCTTAACCACCATGCCACCTGCTGGCTCCTCAACTTCTTTTTAAGCATTGTTTTTTTTATCTGTGATGGAGCACATGTTTGCACACATAGGAGAGAGAGAGGAGCACCGTCCACAGCGTCTGTGCACACCACAATCCCCTTCTTCCCAGCCTCAAGCTTGTTGAAACTCGGACACTCACATGCATGCCCAGCATGTCTCAGGCTAACCAGGCAAGGGATTCAAACCTCAGTCACATGTGAGATCTGGTCTCTTAAGCAGCCCATTACCACTGTGCCACGGAGCCAGCCCTTCAGCGCTTGAAAACCAGGCTCCTTGGCCATGCTGGGCCCAGTGTCCCTGTCACGCCCGGGTCTGGTCGGAGATGCTGAGTAGGGGCTACCCTGGCTCTTGGTCCTCCTCTCAATTTACTGCTCTCGCTGGAGAGAGCTGAGTTTGCAGCCCTCTCGGTCAGTGAGGTTGTTTTGATGTCTCCTTGTGAGTGGTGCCTTGTGGGCCTGCATGCTCGGATCTCCTCAGGCTGAGGGCTGGCGCTGCTCTGGGATCAGCCCTGGGATGGAAAATGCTACCTGTGTCCGTGTTGCTTCCCCTGCTTCGTAGCGATGCCTGTGCACTGTGCACCTGCTGTGGACCAGGTGCTGGGATACTGGTGAATGAAATAGACGAGGCTCCCACGGGCCCTTGTGCTTTCTCCTGGTGAGACAGCCATAAGCAGGTGCCCGTGGAAAGGCCTTCTGCTGGACTTCCAGCCCCTGGTCCTGTCCCTGCAGCCTCT